AGTGATGTCTGTCCTGGACCTGGGCACATCAACATTCAAATGAACAACACTATACTTCTTACGATGTTTAAATATTACGTGAACTATATTCAGTGGGGAGAGTGGCCTTAATGAGCACTAGTCGTGTAAATGCATCTGTTCATTGATCAATATTGATTTATAAACTCACGCACGATCCGTGTTAAATCACATTTGTAACAATTTATGCTTATCAATATATGATGGGGGGGGGGGGGGGTGGCGCAGTGGTTAGTGCACTGTTCTGTGAACCCAGCGATTTGTTCGATTGCCGACCTCAGCTAACATCAATGGCAAGTCATTTCTGAACCGATCCTGAAACCCCCTGCCCCCTACACCAACTCGCCACTGACCAAGATGGTGAAGTATGGGTAAAAAAAAACCTACGCCTGACGCATCAAGGGAAGGCCTTTCATCCAGCAGCTGATCAATAAAAGGGTCGTACGTTACTATACATTATACATGTTGTATTAAACTGGTTTTGCACGACCCCTGCAGCTGATACATGGCTCTTAGGTTCACCCCTCTTAAAAAAAGTATTTCCTAAAATCGCAACTCTGAATTGTAGCGATCGATCACATTTTGCATGGATTGGGTGGTGGAGTTTAATATTTCCCCCCCCCCTACTGTGCACACATATGGTGCCCCTAAATGTGATGCCAGGCTTTACCGTAATGGTCAAGCAATTCATGCTTTTTTGCCTCGGAGGTTTGATGAGATCGGGTTTGACTGCCGTGCATGCTTTACAGTCATGCCCAGCTCTGAAAGTACAGGGCAGACAAGAAAGAGGCAGAGGGTTAATTGCTTTTCTGGCATGGCTAACGGGAGCCATTTAAATTGCTGGCTAAAGGAGGACATTGATCGCTCCAGTATTTTCTTTCTTTCTATCAATACCGAATAGAACGCGCCGTACTCAAGTGCTCATGTAACAGCGATAGAAAAAAACAAACGCAATGTCGCCTTGTCAGGACTTAATTGGATATACTGTACTCTATTTAGCAGATTGTGGGTGAATGGGTTAAGGTGGATGATTCACTTCTGAAACATCTTTTATGTGTAGTTTTTGGATTTGCTCCATCTTTGTCTGGCCCCATTACCGTATGGAATAATTGGAAATTGCGGTGGTCTTTTATCCGATTGTTCTGGTCAATGCCTGGTGTGTAATAAGCTGGCAAAACTGGTCCATTTAGTAAGCTTCTTGAACAGTCACATATTAAAGCTGTCCCTTGGGAGATTATTAACATTACAAGCTGGACAATGTCCGTATATTTTTGTGAGCTTCCAGTAGACTTGCATTATAAAGTGATTTATTTCACATGAATAATGTATGTGCTAGGAAAGCCCATTCCAACAGTTGTATTCCCCATATAGTTGTTTATATCAGTGAATTAATACATGTGTAGTGAGTTCAACTGAGTCGCAGATGCACTTCTTGGAGACAACACATTTATTGATACCAACACAAAGGGGTAACTGCCCCTTCACCAGATAACAACCTATGGAGGTGGACCACTAGGCTAACTACACTAATTACACCGGGAGTAGCTACAACAGACAGGACCCCAGCTTGGGTCCAGGTCCACGTGTTGGTGACTTGTAGAACGCAGAACGTAGATTCTTCAGGATGAACAACAGCAGCCGGTCTCTCTCGGGGTCCCGGCTTTTATCCTCTGTGGCGGGGCTGGCTCCGTTCTTAGCCACGACCACCTTCTAGAATCCTCGAGCAGGATCTCGACCCTTACACGTGACCACCCCTAGCCCCCACCTGGGGCCCTGTGTAGACTTTACCAGTCACGTGTCCTCTAGGGTCAACCAGAGTGCCATGGCCTTTCGTAACCCCATTCCCGTGGCCGGCACCTTGACACCCCATCCTGTAGGGGTCGGCACTACACGCAGTCCGGTACTGCACCCACATTCTCGTGGTGCCCGCGATGTCAATACATCACACGCCGTGCCTCTCTCGGGCCGGCATTACACAGTGACATCCGCAATGTCCCTCCACATTTTAAAGTATGAATACAACTAGAGAGGACTAAAACTTAACCAGTTGATATTTAATATGACTTGTTATAAATTGAGTTCCGTACCCCACCCGGTTCTCTATATATATATATATGCAACATAACCTGGATATAAGCACACCTTGGGAGCAAGGCCAGGTGTGCTTATATCTAAAGCGTGCTTGTATCAGAAGCTGGCCTTTGTCATCCCCCCACCAGCGTAATGTAGACTGTGTCCCTTGTATATACAGTATAGAAAAGTGCTTAAGTCAGGTGTGCTTTTATCCTGCAGTGCAGTGTATGGTCCCTACTTCCAGTTATATTAAAATTATGCTATCAGCAACATGTCGAGATATACATAATCCATTTGCAAATCTCACAGAGTAGTGTTCTGTCTGGGTCAAATAACAGTTGCAAGATATTTTTCACAGGACTTGTGAACAATCCTTCAAGTGGCGATTTAGTGTAGGCGTCACTCTTACCCCCATACGCTGTGCCTGAGATTTCTGCATGCCAGTGAAACCAATGTTTTCAATTCTCAGAGGAGAGATTTAGGCAAAACAAGTGAGGAATGCAATTTAATAATTAATTTGATGAGTCTTTGCTTTGGTGCAGTCCGTTGGTCAGTCTGGTTTAGGCAACGGGGCGAATTGAATCCTGCATTCAAATCCCAGATCTCGGCTCTTCTCTTCGCAATGCATTTTTAGACTGCATTCACCATAGCACAAGACTTACATCATTTCAGGCACACTGATTGCAGTTGGCACCCTCTCTCGTCAAGAGACTAACTAGGAGCCCTCTCCAAGCCTCTTCCCAACATCGTCAGGCAACTCACTGAACAGATTCAATAAACGGATTCAAGCCAGCAGCAGCTGAGTCTACGTACTTTTCTCCAAGTCTACTCTTCCAATTAAAACCCTCTTGACAAAAATTCTGGATCTCTGCAATGTTCGTGACCCTACCATTGTCATTTTGCTTGTTCAGTAAATACCTCTGCACTTTTTATGCGTTCCATCTGCTGTCGCGATGGTCCATGTGTTTTGCGCACCTCCTATTGCCAAATGGTTAAACTTTACTCTCCCCTTGCACGCATCAAGATCGGTCACACGTGATGGTGGGAAGCTGCAGCCATTATATTAATTTTAATGTCAACTTTCTTTCGTGTCACATAAACAGTGTGCGATCCTGTGACTTAAAAATCACTTCTGCCACCAGATTAAGTTAATTGGACCAGCTGTGCCATTTCATAGGCTATTGCTAGGCTTGGGCTTTCAATTTATATGCACAGCCTTTTCATAAGCCAGTTGAAAAGCCAGACCAGTAAGCCAACCATCCAGACAGACAACAGGGGTATCCATTGACTGAAGCAGTTGCTTCTGAAATAGATGATTTTTTTTAAGCATATGAATAAAAAAAGCATTGCTCATCTGCTTTTGACAGCTGCATCGTAGCACGCTGCACACGGGTGCTGTGCAATACCGATTCGGCCGAAGTAATTCAGCCCGAATCCATCAAACGGTTAACTGTTGAAATTGCCGCTGATTCCGCGGGGAAGCTGTTTGCACTGGAGCGGAGTTTGAAAGTCGTTTCAAGTGCGATTCTCCCCCCCCGCACCACCTCGCTCGGGCCCGCTGTTGGCTTTAGCGTCGTGTCGTGCCTACGTGTCGAGGGTACCTGATTTGTTTTTGCCTTTGTTGTGTGTGTCTGTGTATGACTCTTTGTGTGCGTGTGCACGCACACAGGCTTTGGCGTGCGCGCGTGTGTGCGTGCGCACACTTGTGCATGTGCGAGCCCTGGCGTGCTTGTGCTTGTGTGACATTAAGTGTTCCTGAGTGCTAGTGTGATTATGTATGCATGCATGATCCCTCTGAGAAAGTAAGAGAGAGCGAAGGAGACGAAGAGTATATTTTTTAATCTGTGAAAGCATATATGAATTCTAAGTAACTGCATTTGAATGAGTGGTTGCGATTTGTGTGTGTGTGTGCGCGCAGACACGCATGGATGTATTGTCTTTGAGTTCACGAGTGTTTACGCATGAATATGTGATGTGTGGGAGTTACTGTTTTCATGTTTTATGCTGCTTTCTGTCTGCCTGGATGTCTCCCTGCCAATCAAACCATTTTTACAAAGGAAAATATTATTTGACCTTTCATAAATTATAAAGAAACATCATGCCATGAATAAGTACCACATTGATTTATACGGCAGATTTTTGGGGGGTAGTCGTGGCATAGTGGTAGGTGATCTTCTGTAGGAATCTGGCGACCTGAGTTAAATTCCTGGTCATGGCTAACATGAACTCATCCTGCGTGTAACCCCCCCTTCACCAGCCTGCACTAAGCAGTGTGGTGAAATATTATCTAAGAACCCTGATAACTAATGCAACATTGGGAGGCCTTCTTCCAGTCGTGGTAATCACCCAGCCATCAAATGGGCCATTTCAAATGTTTATCCAGGGTGTTGCGATCCATTGCCCATACATAGCCAGGCCTCTTGCATAGGCATGGTCCTCCGCATCATCGAGAGCGATGATCTGAAGCAGCACGAGGTTGAGCGTGGACATGTGCGAGCCCATCTACAGTTGATTTTAGTGAATTCATAAAGGGCTCTACATTTTTGATTATCATGTATTATGAACATAGTTGTGGGAAAAAATATTCAACTTGGAACTCTGTAGCGAACAGTGTCATTAACCTTTGTCAGGGAACAGCACTCTCATAGCATCGCAGACCTCAACATTGGTATTTAGCACCTGATCGAAATGGCTGAAGCCATCGACTCGTTAAACTTGAGAACCGGGTTTAATTGCAGGATTCAAACCTGGGAACTCAGCAGTGCCAGCTCGGTGCTCTGCCCACTGAGCCACCCGGGCACCTCTGCAAGTGCAATGATCATCTACACGGATGAGTAACTGTCAGCTGTGTAAGACTAACACGGCTGAAAATAGACTTACGTCGCGAAAATGTGCATTTGTGCGTGCAGAGAGCTGGGCTGGCGCGACCCTGACCTCCTGGAGGTCATCCAGATGCTCCAGCACAACCTTCCATCGATCCAGGGCAACGCGGCGGCCTACCTACAGCACCTGTGCTACCGCGACTCCAACATCAAAACAGAGGTGCGCATTTCCTCAGCACCCCACCTGCCCCCCCCCACTCCCACCCGCTCCCCTCCCACGCGTGTGATTCGTCGCAGTGGAATTTCATTTAGTTTGTAGAATAGGCATATTTTCACTCTTTGAGTCGGTACTGGGTGGCATTTGTTTTTTGGCACATTTTATTTTAATGATGTGTTATGATAATTGCTGTATTCTGTTATAGTTAACAAATGCCCAATTACGCAATTAATATTTTATTAATAATCCTGCATTTCAATCGGAGATCTTCAATGGCTAAGGAAGCTGTATAAGTGTCAAAATGTCCAACAAACCAAGTGTGTAAGCAGACGGCATCCCTTAGCCAAGTCGAACATGATATGCGGTGATGTATTACATACAGTTCAGTTTGGGGTTAGAAAGACTGTCAACTAATAGGGGGCACGTGCATATGTAGGGGACTTGGGAGAGAGTAGTTTTACATACACAGTAGTTTTTCAAAGGTGATACAGAACTGCAGGGCTGAAAAGGGGAGAACAAAAACAGTGAATTGGTAAAGGTGTGGACGAAGATACTTGATGGACGCAGAGGGGTAGGCATTTAAATATGAATGGAACAGCTGCCTACAAGGGGTGACCTCTCATTGAGCAGAGGTTGACCGGGGACTATGACACGAGGCATTGGTGACTTGGGTGGAGAAAATATGGGGGAGGAGTGAAGACATTTATATCATGGATAAATAATTCTAGCCATTTAAGTTCATTCAATTGATTATTTAATTACAATGATTTACCACACCAACAATCTCTTAAATCAACCATCTACAATAAATCCTCAGTGCTAATCCCCATGGTGCTAATTTTTAAGTAACTTAATTAATTACTGCTTAACTAGAATTATAAAATGAAATAAATCTGGCTTTTTGAATTAAAGTAATCCATTATTGAATTACAATAATGTAAATTACGAACAATAAATATGTATAAATGTGGCTCAAATTTTGTAACAAATAATCACTTTTTTTCACCTGCTACAATTATACTATGCCTAGCCCCGAAAGGGGATTTTTTTTTCTAAACCATTAAGCTTTACAAAAACTAGTATAAATTATAACTAACATAATACACCTTGCTATAATTAAGGATATCCTATTTTCTCCAACAATTAAATTGTGTACTATTTTAACCCCAGTATGAACCGTTCAATCCGGTTCACCTGCATGGCTGTTCGGATGACATAATTGAATCAACCTGAAGATCCAGATCAGGCAGTGCATTCACCCGGACAGATCTGAGCTCTTGGTACCACCTGATGATGTTGGTATGAATCCCTAGCGAAATTTTGTACGTAAATTGTCAAATATTCTGCTTGCTTTCAAAGTCACCAATTTGCTGAGAAACAAGAAAAATGGCTGCATTTGCCCCACGTGACAACTTGATAGGTTTGACTGTATGGGGTGATGGAGGGCTACAGGTCTAATTGGACAATTATAGCTTTGCGGTCAAACCCAAAAAGATACCAAATGTGAGTCAGGAGGATGAGAAAGTTGTTATTGAAGCTGTGTCAGGAGGGTCCTACTTGTTAGGTTTGTCTAATTATTTGAGTATTTGTTGTGTGTGAGAGGAAACCTTGCAGAAACCTTGGCGTAAATACATTGTGCTTTCACGTAACTACTTTCATTCTCCTCCCGATGTCCCAATGTGGAAGGCTAAACTGATGAGGTATTTATCTCAGGGTGACCTGTAGATCATCTTATCATAGGGACGTTGCATATTTATTTAAAATTATTTTATTGCGGAGGTATGACCTTCATCTTAAAGATAGATACCACTTTCCATTGACAGTTGATGCTTGCTTTGGGGCATGCTGACAGTTCCGATTAGACCATAATTCCCCGCGATCCATTTTCTCCTCTCAGGCTGTACCATTGTTTTGCCAATTCTCTCTTGACTCTGCAGAAATCCGTTGGTTAGTTGCCATGGAAAAATTATTGAGGACCAAATGGAGGTCATAATAGCTGAAACCAGCTATGGGAGGAGCGGACCAAGTGGGGAAAATCCAGGTTGACTGACAAAAGGCAGGGTTTATTAGATGTGGTGTTCTCTGAAGTGTGTAGCTGCTAAACAAAGAGTCAAGACGGACAGCATTGGCAGCGGTGCAACAAAGCACAAGACAAAATAAACTCGCCACATCCGTCATTAGCACTGCCTCATAAATTAACAATACAATAGAGTAGGCTGACTTTTCCAGCCCATCTTTTGGGGGGAAAAAAAGAGGGAAGACATGGAATTATCTATTTGCAGTTTAGAGAATTCAGTTCACACGGTGGGTCATTGAGAAAACTGGGACATTTAAACAGCCTTTACAGTTGAACAGTTTTTAATTGACACATTAACAGTTTTCATTCGTATGTGTTGAGTGAAGCAAATACTTTTTTTAACGCGTTAAACCATTCATATTAAAAGTACACTTGTCAATAAAAAAAAACTATCATGGAAAGTGCCACTGATGCAGTACCTCATTATGTTGTTAAACTGAACAGCTCCCTGCATGAAGAAACTTTCAAAATTATATTCTTAGGTTTTTTCGGTAAAGTCACGTAGGTAAAACATCAAAATTAATACAAATAAAATAAAACAAAAAATCACGACGTTTCGGAGGCAACACAAACGTCGTGATTTTTGTTTTATTTTATTTTTATTAATTTTGATGTTTTACCTACGTGATTTTACCGAAAAAACCTAAGAATATGAATCCTTGCAGTCACGAAAGCTTCAAATCTAGAATTTTCTAAGTTATATAATGAATATAATATTGCTGGGCGCAGTGGTGGTGCACGCCTGTGATCTAGAACTTTGGAGGCGAGGGTTGGTGGATGAGACGAATGTTGTGGAACTCCCTTCCCCATGGGTGTTGAGGTATCATACTCCTCTGACCTGCTCGAGTGGACTCTACTTCTTCTTGGTTCTTTCGGTAAAGTCACGTAAAATGGAAATAATAAAATAATAAAAATAAAACATAATAAAATTATTCTCACGACGTTTCGGCCACAACGCAAGCAGCCGTCCTCAGGTGAAGAACAGGTCTGTTGAGAAGACAGTCTTCACCTGAGGACGGTTGCTTGCGTTGTGGCCGAAACGTCATGAGAATAATTTTATTATGTTTAATTTTTATTATTTTATTATTTCCATTTTACGTGACTTTACCTAAAGAACCAAGAAGATGAATCCCTGCAGTCACAAAAGCTTTAAATCGAAATTTGGACTCTACTTGTTCAGTCTGTATAAGTGTTGCTCCCTCGCATGCATGGTTTTTCCCCAGGTGCCCCTGTTTTCTCCCCAATGTAAACACTCATTAATTGGGAGTAAACATCTTCGTATGCAGAGGACTGCAGAGCTTGGGAAATTGTTGACGCCGGCTCACCGCGTGGCTGCGTTCTCCCGCTTAACTGCCATTCCTCACACCTCCAAGTTGTTCTCTCTCTCTCAGCCGAGAGCGAGTTAATAGTGCGTATTGCATTTTCAAATTCTTTATTATCATATATATGAATACAAATCAGTGTGAAAATACGAATGTGTGAATAATATGAATGGGTGTAAACGGTGCGGTAGTGTGGTGGTTTTAGTGCGCTGCACTACGAACCCAGCGACCCGAGTTTGATTCCTGCTCGCGACCAATAACAGTGGTAAAAATTCTAACCGGTCCTGAGCCTTTCTTAGATATCGCTTAGCCTCAAATGAGTACCTGGTGGGGTGTGTAAACGTTGCCACTTGGGAGACAAAGGCGGCTGGACGTGATGCTCGCCACCCAATCCCCTCGTGTGCCAGTAGTTCATGATAAAAGCACATCTCTTGAATGTCGATTTTTTTATTTCGCCAACTCAAGCCAGCAGAAGGCATTCCCACTTGCACCACAAAAGCTGCCGATCCATTAAAGTCAATGCATGCGTGGTCGTTTTCATTGGATTAAAAGCAGCGACATTCTCCCCAAGACTGACGTCATATCGCCACCTTGTCACCGGCTCCGGTGAAACGAAATCCGTGGTCCGTGACTTGAGGTTGAGGGACCGTGTGGAAAATGGTGGACGGGGTGGGGGGGTGAGTAGGAGGTGGGTGAGCCACGGTGGGGAGATGGTAATCTTCCTCGCATGGTATGCACGAGGTCGGGGGTTCGATCCCCTTCCTTGGCGCCTGCTGTATATTTGGAGCTTGCATGTTCTCCCCATGGTTGCGTGGATTTTTTTATCCGGGTCCTCCGTTTTTCCCCTCCACATTTAGAAAAATGCATTAAGATTATTTAGAATATTTTGGTGCTATAAATGTCCAAATGATGGGCCGATTTGTTGAGCTATCATTTGTGGCCAGGTCGCTTCTGAAAAATAAGTTAATACCTCCGTGGGCTTTGTAGGATGGAGATGGTTTAGTTTAATTTGTATGTGTTTGGGTGATTTGTTTATCTTTCTTATACTTTGCACTACCATCGTGTTTTTGTTCTGTTTTTTGTTGTTGTAACGTTCTTATCTGCCCCTACTAGAAATTTGTGAAAAAAAGCTTTATAGTTTGATTTGAAGCTTTCGTGACTGCAGGAATCCATACTCTTTGGTTCTTTCGGTAAGTCACGTAGGTAGAAATAAAAAAAAATCATGACGTTTCGATAGCAACACAAGCCATCGTCTTCAGGTGAAAATCGCGACAGCCGCGAAATCTGCTGCGAGCAGCACGATGTCTGCTGCAGACGATGCCTTGTGTTGCAATCAAAACGTCATGATTTATTTTGTTTTGTTTCTACCTCCGTGACTTACCAAAGAGTATATATAGCTTTATAGCTGATCGGATTCCTCCAGTACAAATAATTATTCTAATTTTGAGTCTCATGCCAGTTTCACAGATTTCCAACCACTTACTGCATTTGTGATGCAACTTTTATAGCTCACTAAATGATGATGGATTGAAAAGCCTTGCAATTAAGAGGCTTCCGTTCTCTGCATTACAACGATCGTGAAGGTTTTACATTTAGTATTTTTG